GAAAGAGCCAGAGAGAGAGATTTTCCAGAGGGTCCTGTTGTGTTGTGGTCCTCCAGCCCCACCTCCCATTAGCGAGGTTCACAGACACACGACACCACTCCCAGCATGTTCAAGTGACCCAGGAACTGAACTGAGGCCTCCCAAGTGGCTCCCAGCCCCCTAAGCAGTGGCATTCTCTGTGCACCACTGCCACTCACAGCTCGGCCAACAAACGTAAGCGTAATAAATAAAAAGATGTGGCTTTTAAGAAGTCAATTGGCCTGGTAGGGCTGAGGAAGACTTTGAGAATGCACGCTTAAAGGCCTCGAGTATAATATTTAAAAACCCTATGCATATACCGTGTGCTGAGCTATTTGAGATGCCAGTTTATAACCACTGACAGCGATTACAGTGCAAACTCTGGTGACGGGAAAACACATTAAGGCTGAAATCTTGGCAATGCTCCCTACTGGCGATCTTGGGCAAGTGACCGGACCTTTCTAAGCCTCGTTTCCTCATCTGTAAACAGGGATGAGATAACACTACTCACCACACAGAGTAGCTGTGAGGGTTAAATGAGTAATACACGTAAAGCTCTTAGCACAGTACCTGAAATTTAAGAGCTCGATTAGTGTTGTTATTAACACAAATTTCTAATAACAATAGGAGTAGTAATCTAATCCCATGAGTTTACAGATAAGAAAACTCTGAGGCCAAAGAGAGAAAATGACTTGAGACGGTCAGATTGCAGCCAAAGGCAGAGCCAGGACTGGAACTCACACCTCCTCCCCTCAGCCACAGTCCTCTTCCCACTGCGCAGAGCGAGCTCGCTGAAGTGAGTGAAGAAATGCAAGCAGGGCCACTCTAGAGCATGCATTTCCGACTCCAATGAGCCAAGGCACAGGTCCCATCTGGCAGGACGTTCTTACCGATAGAGAAGTTCTGCAATCCAGCTTGTATTTAGCAGCGATGCCAAAACGGGTGTTGTTACTGCCAGCTGTCCAAGCAAGGTTTATTGATGTTTCAATCTTCTCATTAACCTTCTGGTAGATAGAACCTCCAAATTCGGTGCCATCGTTCCTGTTTTCACAGCGTAAGAAAAGGCCGTAAATGTCCCGTCAACACTGTTAAGGACACGGAGATAGATCCCGAGACTGTGGGAACAAGGCTCCCATTTTGCATTCAGCAAATTTCTAGCATCAACGACTACTGAACAAAACGGTGTGGACTCTAGTGCTGCTTGTGACTGCCTAATTAACCCAGTAACACTTCATTTCCTTGGCTCTTCCACATGTAAGTAACGTCAATTTCTCAGACATCATGATTCTGTTATGCACAAAGGTAGACATCTCAGGTGGTCTCTTTGGGATATTCCCAGAATGTAGAAACTTCAAAGACAAATTAAATAAAGATTATGCCAAAAAAAAAAAAAAGTACTGGCATGGGACCAGCAGTTGCATAATGACTGTGTCGCTGGACTCCCATGTCGTCAACCCGGACCCAGTGGCTTAAACTCACGCCAGGCACATGTACGTGCGTGCCCAAGATCCTGAGAGAATGGAGGAGAAGGGATTGCAGAGAAACCATCCCCATGGGGGGTGATCTCTCACTTTCTATCTCTGTGTCTCTGGCGATTGCAAGCACCCTATAGCAAAAACCTCTCCATAAAAAAAAGCAGTGACAGAAGCAAAGGCCTAACTTCAAATATAATCCTACCTGGGAGGCCCCTACCTGCAATATGTAGCATGCGCTGCTCTGGGAAGTACCTGAATCAGTGCAACAAAGCATCCCAGAAGTGAACCGTGGACTCTTCCTGGCTTTCCTGACATACTGTTCCATTGACTACAAGATCTGTCCACACTACTGCTCGCCCCGTTCTAGCCACCTAGTGCAGAGCGGCCTGCTACACCTGGCTCGCCCTGTGCTTTCCGCCTGGTGCAGCAGCAGTATCCAGCAGGCCAAGACATACAACTGAAAAGTCCAGATTCGTTCAGCCCCCAGGGTGCAGCCTACATAACTAAACTCCAGGACTACTACTCCCACTACTTCTGGGTGCAACAGGAATAGCTGGGTTCCGACCAGGCATTCCCGAAAATCTCCGGAGTTCATGGGAAGCTCCAGGATGCTCACATCCATCTGTGGTTGTTCTTCATGCCAAACAAACCTGCCTGTGGACACGGCCAAGATGAGGAGGGGACAG